ACGAAAAACTATTTTATAGAAATTTTAATAGTCATGAAGAATTTTATGTAGATGGGATTCAGCAAAAACTAAAAGGTATTTTATTTATACTTCTGACTTTATATTGATTAAAGTTAAATAATAAATAAAATGTATAAATTGTCTTTAACACTCATTTCAATCAAACCCGCCTATATAATTATTGAATAATTGATAAATATTCGTTTTGCAAACTTCATAGATCTTGACTTTGTCATTCGCTTCGATCAAATCCGCCTTTATAATTATTGAATAATTTGTAAACATTCATTTTGCAAGCTTCATAGATCTTGACTTTGACACTTGCTTCAATCAAACCCGCCTATATAATTATTGAATTATTGATAAACATTTATTTTGCAAACTTCATAGATCTTGACTAACACTTACTTCAATCAAACCCGCCTATATAATTATTTGAATAATTGATAATAATAAAACGTTTATTAAATATATTTACAAACAGCTTCATAGATCTTGACTACTTTAATAATTACTTCGATCAAACCCGCCTATATAATTATTGAATAATTGATAAATATTCATTTTGCAAACTTCATAGTTCTTGACTTTAATACTTGCTTCTATCAAACCCGCCTATATAATTATTGAATAATTCAATAGTTTGTACAAGCATTAAGGACAATATCTATGAAGTTTGCAAAATATTCTAATGAATATTTTATCAATTATTCACTGGTTTGTACACAAGATCTATGAAGTTTGCAAAATATTCTAACAAACATTTTATCAATTGTTCAATAGTTTGCACAAGCATTAAGGACAAGATCTATGAACAAAATATACTAATGAACATTTTATTAATTCAATAGTTTGCACAAGCGTTAAGGACAATATCTATGAAGCTTGCAAAATATTCTAATGAACGTTTTATCAATTATTCAAGTACAAACTTTAAGGACAAGATCTATGAAACTTACAAAATATTCTAACGAACGTTTTATCAATTATTCAATAGTTTATATAAATTTCTCTTTTATTTCAACTTATATTTTAATAACATCACCATGATAAATAAATAATAAAGTCAGAGATAAATTTAATCATTATTGTTGTTGTCCATTGTTCTAATCACTATTTACATATGTAAAAGAAAAATTTTAATATCTATTTATTTATCATATTTACTTTTTAAAATAAATGATTTTACTATAAAAGACATACCTAAATGATAAAAATATGCAAATATTCATAATAATGTAATAGTTGGACATTTATTTCTACCTATACTTGCAATTGGACGCGTCAAACAAAATTTTACATATATGAATATTTGATTTTGAGGGTCAGATTATTTTCAGTTTTATTAACAACCTGCTTTAAAAATTTTCATAAAACAGATACATGTGATAAAGAAGTTATATCTCAAATTTGGTGGTGGTTGCTACACAGCAAGGGTGTCAAATGAGTGTGTGAAGACATTTGATTATAAAATTTTACTATGTGAGAAATGTCCTGTGACTAATAGGTTAGATAGGTAAAAACAGTAGAAATTGATGATAATGTGATCACAGCTGCATCTGCATCAACTGAAGAAAGTGGGACCAAGACTAATAATGACAAATTCTCAAAGCAAATAAGGATGGAGTCTCTCCAATATATATATCATATGGGATCTCAATTAAATGATGAAGAGAAGAAAAAAATACATGTGAAATATGCCAACATGTTAAATCTATAGATGGGCGTCTAAATTGTTTTTGGGGTTGTCTAAAGTCAAAAATGTCTAAAAAAAAAGGTCTAAATTAATATAAATAGTAATGATTTGCTTTAAATATAACTAAAAAGTCACTTGGATATACACAAAATTCAGTAAATTATCCAATAAAAATTCAATTTCAATATTTTAGACAATCATGGTCTCAATTGTCTAAATGTCTAAATTAATCTATATTTTAGACATTGTCTAAATAATTTAGTTTAAATGCCCATCTATAGTTAAACCATATGATGAAATTTGGCAATGATTCAGAGAAAAAAAATGCTAAAAATTATTTGAGTATATTTGAAGTAAGTCATTTGTTTTTATAAGATTGGTTTTTGGTCTTTATGATAAAATATTATTTTGGGTGAGATTTAAGAGCACTCATAGCTATTTACAAAAAACTAGTAGTAATAACTACAATATACTAATAAATATATTCATTAACAACTCTATTATTTTAAATTTAAAGGAAATCAAAAAAGTAAATATACAGGTTAATAAAATCAAATCAATCATCTCAGTTTAACAGACACAACTAATAAGCTTGATAATGATGAATTTGATTTTATGGAACTAATATTCATCATTGACTTTAACTTTTACACTACTCATCAAGAAAATAAAAATTACTGGAATTATTACAGCCTTTCAACCACTTGTCATGGATTGATTCCAGATATTACTGTTTCATTTTTGAAGCCTGAAGTTGAGATTTTAGTTGTTGAACATAGTAAATCAAAATGTATTGGCAATGTTCAAAAAAATCTAAATGACACCATCAAACTTGCAATCCTGATCTAATCTAAAATTTAAATAGAGACAACCATGCCAAATTTTTGGAAATTCTAAACCAAGGACCTAAAACTCCAGAAAAATTAAAAAATCAAAACGGATTGTAGAAATAGACACTTCTCCAATTACTTTACAACAGGGTTGGCAAATGTGTGATCCACTGGTGGTCCATTGGGTCCATTAATGTAAATATTTTAATCATATTTAGTATTTTATTAATAAACAATTAAATTTGATTTAATTTTACAATAATTCATTGCCTGAAATTAAATATAAAACCAATTAGTATTATATAATACAGTATTATTTGCTCTCCAAATAACTAAATTCCTTTTCACTGTAATCAATTATTCTTCCTTCTTGTCCATGTAGCAGTATAAATTGAACTAAATCCACCTTCAGTCAATTTTGTTATTTTTTCAAATTGCTCAAAAGGTATCCGTTCTAAAATATAGTCTGGCAGAGATGATTTTATTTGACATTGTTGAATAAAATCATCAATTATGTTATTCCAAATGGTAAAAAGACTCTGTAATTGTAATCAACCTATCAGAGTATCTTGTCAATTTACACTTATTACATTCTTTTGGTTTGCCCGATTTATCTCTTGCATTATTTAATTCAAAATTATAAATAAACTTTTCCTTATAAAATTCTCTTTCATTTTCAGAAAGCTTCTTGTTTTCTTTGACTAATGAAAAAATAATCCTTTTTACTTTCTCTATCAGAATTAATTATTGCATTATAAATTTTTAATACAAACTCCTTTCTTTCTGGTGATAACAATAACAATAACTTATCATGGAAGGACCCTATCGCTAGCCAGGTTGTTAGTGATAACTCGGAGATGATACGGCAATTACCCAAAGATCTATATAATAATTTTATGGTAGGTGATTTACCTTCATTGACAAGGGTTTATTCAATCTTTTCTTTTTCACCCGCACTAATGGTCAAATTGGCTTTATGTGCTCGTTGCGGATGTTAATAATTGATTTAACTTCACTAGAAACTTGCACAAAAAATGGTACCTCCATCTTTATCGGTCGTTCAAGAAGTATGTAGAAGGTTTATATCAAGTTTTGATGAGTTTCCTGCTGTAATTTATCCAGAAAACCTATCACATGATGGGAATTGGAAAGAATAAAACGATTCTCTATTAGAGATTGCATCTGGGATTCTCAATGTAATGTGAGTACTGGAAAAAAGTCAAAATATCCGTTAATTCTAATAAATAATAAATAAATATTTCAATCGCTTTTCCTTGGTAGAGATGACTCCTGGAAGAATCCAGCGTTTGGGCCTGAATTTGCATCATCTATGAATGAAGGAACTTATGTTACAAACGTAACCATACCCGCGGTTAGGGCTTCATTAAAAAACCTTTATCTCGGGACAACCTCATTCATTAGCACGTAGGCTATAATTTACTAGCCACTATATGTTTTAAGTAAAAAAGCTATAATATGATTATTTCTATAGTTCGGAAAGACAAAGTATTGCTAGTGCAAACAGAAGAAAGGAAGTGGCCATTCTGGGAGATGGCCTGATATAATGTTTGTAATAGAAGATAAGGGATATGTTTATGAGCTCATGTTTAGTGAATGCTCGCAATTAGTATGTAATGAGCGCAAAAAAAGTGATGACGACATTAAGTTATGGCGAGAAGCTAACGATGGGATTTCTTGGGTTCGTAAGTTGTAAACCAAAAAAGGAAGAATTTGGAATTATTGGATTGCAAGTTGCTGGTACTGTTTTATTTTCTTCGACCTATTTTTAAGTAAATACTAATACCGGAACAAATTTTTAGGGGATATTTTGCTTATAATAGATGCGACAGATGTACATCATTACTATCATTTGAAGTCGGTAGAAATTCCTGTTCAACGGGCAGATGAAATTATTGTAACGAATTTTGTGGAGACCTTATTAATCATGCGGGTATGTTGGCGGTGTTGCATCTGAGCTTCTACTCTTATTGTGTTCATTCCATAGAATATTTTATTTGTCAATCAATATATCTCTCCTACATCATGCACCAATATTCAGATCACGTAAGAATATAGAAAAAAGTACAACAGTATCTTCAGATCAAAGAAAAGATTAACATGTATGTCATATTTTATATAGATGTCTAATATGTTTGGCAATAGAAAACTATGTAGTTTGATTTTTAATAAACTCACAATATGAACCATTTCAACTGAAAATATCCGAATCGAGATTATTTACCTCCAGTTATCTGCATAATCAAACATTGACTTCACATCTTGCGTGTTCTTATTTATAATAGTTATAAAGTCTTCGTCAATTATATATATATACATATCCTTATTTTTATATTGTGAATACTGCGTAGGATTCATAGTGTATTTGTTTTTTTAATAGATATGCAATTAATTTAATTATTCGGACACCGTGCATTGTTTACTTATATAATATACATTAACATAAATGTAGATGGACACATTGCTAATATTTATTACTATCAATTCATCAAAATAAAAGATTCCTTTTTAAAGATTTAATTTTAAACATTAATTAATAAAAATAAAAATTTTATTTTGGCCAATAAACTCAAATTTGTCGATCATTATTGACCAATCACAAAGAAATTCCGTTATGTCTTGATAAGTCAGCCAAACATGCTCAGCCATTCGCGGCTGACTTATCAAGTTTACCTATGTAATTCGAATAAAACAAATAATTCGAATAGAGAAAATAATTCGAATGGAACGAATAGTTTAAATAAAACGAAATAATAATAATTCGAATTAAAATAAATGAATAGAAACTACGACTTTTATCCTGCTATTATGTATTGTATTTGTTTTTTTGAGCTAATGCATGTTTTTTTGTAATGCAAGTGAATCCATCTCAACTAAATATCCATGTCACTGAATTCTACGCTAAAATTCTAAATGTAAAAATGAATGTTAAGAGAAATTTTTTTCAGCTGGCTGAGCTTTTAAAAATTCCTTAGCTGGCTAACATTACTAAAAATATGTTTTTGGATTAATTATCCATCTATTCCTATAAAAATTCCCAGCACTAAATAGTTTTGTCTTTTATCGATCACGGGGCACTGAGATAATGACGATCAACTTGAATTTCAATGCATAAATAATTATTGGCGTAAAATTTTATATGCATAATAATAAATAAATGTCAAAATTTATATAATTGTAATATATTTTATTACTACTATTATCCAATAATCTAACTATTTTTCTCTTTTTGAAATTCAGACAAGTTTTTTCCAAGATTATTTGCATGCACATATGATGGTGCATATTACTGAATAATGGATCCAATTGATCCTCTTATTATTATTGTGACAATGCGAACAAATAAATTACAGGCTCAAGATTAACATCACAATTGTACTACCACTAAATGGGGTCCAATATTATGTTATAAAACATTAATTTTCATTATTAATTTTTTTGCTGATCATTTTCATATATATAGGTAAAATCCAAACCCTGATAACTTTTGAAGGAAACAATTTATAAGCTTCAAATTAAGGATACATGTTATTGAGTTATCGTTAAATAAGAATATGGAGATCCTTTTTATTTTCATATTATCTAAGGTAAAACCAAGAGCAAAACTTGATTGTTTCAGAAATCTCATCAAGAAGATAAAAATAGATGGTAAATGTGTTAGATATTTTTCCCCAAAAATTTTTGTCCACATCCTCGTCCTGCTTTCTTTTCCTAATGTTTATTATTTTTCTTTCTTCTTGGCTTTCTTTTCTTAGATAAGCTTCAAGTGTCTGAGTATCATTTATTTTGAAGATATAAGGTGCATTTTTTCACCTTGTCCTTTATTTAAAATACTTCTGATAATATTATAATTCTTGGGTTCCATAGTAGATCTGATGTAAATGAGTTTCATATTAACCATTGTTATATAGAGAGCTCTGTATATCACTTAAGATAACAAATGGATATTATAAAACTGCTAATTACAAATGACTAAACTTTGATCCCGAAATTCGTGGTAAATACCACTTTTAACTGCTGATACTGCTGATCATAGTGAACTCATATCTCCATTTCTTCACCCTTTGTGATTTAATTTCTAATTCGGGATTTTTTTGATAATTTTATGATTAATTTTGTATTGTCTTTCCTTTTTTCATTTCTTTAATGAGTTGGACACATTTATACTGTCAATTCTTTAATCCTTTTGCTTGATTCATTTAATTTTTTCATCAAGTGTTATTTCAGCTAATGCCTTTTCAATTTCCTGCTTTAAATCCAATATCTCACTCTACAAAATATTTATTTCTCTGTTCATATTGTCCAATTGTAGTGATAAACTTTTGTTTTTGTTAGTTAAATTTTGATAAAAGTCTGCTTCTTTTCCTTGGTTAATTTTAAATTTTCATTCATTTCTTGATTGATTGCTAAGAACTTTGAATTGCTTAAAAAAAGAATAACCATTTAAAATGATCATGGTAATTACCTCCATTTTCTCCATTTTCCTATGTTTATCAGTAAAAATCACCCATGATTGAGCGTATTTATTCATAAAGTCTTCATAAGCGGAAGCTCTTTCATCTTCCAATTCTTCAAACATCCTGGTTGATTGTCCTCTTTTAAATTTTGTTGGTTTTCTGAATTAAATATCTTAACCTTGATCATCTTCCTGAATTATTTAAAATCTCCCTTTGATCTATCTATATTATAGTGGGCAAATCCTCCACCAACTTTTGGCCAAAAAACGATTCTTTTTTTGAGTACTAATTTAAATAAGGCACCTCAATTTTCATTAACGTCCAGGTTTAATTTCCATGCCCTAAATTTTTTAAAAACAAACTTTATCCTTTTTAAATATTTTCATTTTTTAAATTATAATTAGCTAATGATTTATTGAATAGTTAGTAGTAATACAAGTATGCTAATAACATACAAAATTATTTAAATGCTTATTGCTATTAATAGGAATTTGAACTTTAAAATTTTGCCGAGATAAAAAAATGAATAATTGTTCAAATAAGACAAAAAAAAACATCACACCATTCTATAACAATTTCTTTATTGATTACATGGGTTTACAATTGGAAGGTAAATCTGCATTAGATAGATTAGGTAATCCATTTTCATCAAACGATAAATCTGGTGCAAAGTCTTGAAGAATTTCTGGTGGTGGTTGCCCAAGTTCTTGTAACTTTAAGTGTTGAGAAATGATGTGGTATGAGAGAGGAATAGAATTGTGAATAAATAAATAAAAAACAATTGATTAAAATCAAAATAGTTTTTTCATAGACATACTTCTTGCATCAAGTTTACTATAACTTGGTTTTGTTGTTCATTATTACTGTCAAAATCTGGTGATTCATATTCTTCAATAATTTTTTTAATACAATCTGATTGTTTTTTGAAATTTTCATAATCAATCTGAGATACTTTGCCATATTTTTCATTAAGCCATTTTGAATACTGTGGAAAAAGAAAAAAAAAAAGCAATATTTTTTTTTGTAAAGAATTTGATAAATTAATAAATAAAAATATTTGAATTTCTTTTTCAACCCAGTTAATTAATTACCTTCTTGTGGAATTCTTTCATTGGTTCATATAAATATTCTTTAGATGCCAAAGTTCCCATCATTGATTCCATTATTTTATCCATTCCTCCACACATTCCATCAATATTATCTTCTGTAAGACCCATATTCTCTAAATGTTTTAACATTTCTTCCATAAGTATATCTGTTGATTCTTCTGTAATACTAGCCTATGTAAATTGATAATGAAAGATAAGTAAAATGAACATATAGACAGACAGACAGACAAACAGACAGACAAACATTTACATCAACTTGTTCAGAACTATTTTGTAATTTGTTCATAGTTTGATTAATTTTATCTTGAAATGAATCACCTTTGGATTCATTTGGTGACTTTCGTATTTTGTTACCACTAACATCACCAATATTACTATTTTTACCATCAAAATCTACTATATCATTTAAGTTGTTGATTCCACCAACAGATTTCATAAAACCTTGTAATGTGCTTCTGAGTTCTTCATTTAATTCTTTATTTGTCACCTCATCTACCAATTTTTCCATGTCTGCTGCTAAAATTTTTGCATATTCTTCATCCATGTCTGAAGTAAGTTCTGCTAAATTGATATCATCATCATCATCATTACTTAATTTTGGCAATAAATTGCTTGGAATACTATTATTTATTGTGGAAAAGGTAGGCGATGAAGATTTTGTGGGAGGTTGTGAGGAAAAATCATCAAGAACCTCTATTTATTAATTAAAAATACATTATGTTTAAAATTTTTATTTTGAAAAAAAAAAAAAGATACTACATAACTAACCGTCAAGTAGATCATCATCTAAAACGTCTAATTCATCAGCAACTGTAACTTTTTTATTTTCAAAAGCCATATCAAAAAATTAAATTTAATATTTGAAAAATAAAATGTTAATATATAAAAAGAAGAGATGTAGCGTGTAACAATCGTTTGATTAGAATTATGTAATAATTTTTAAGTGTAACTACAATCGGACTTCAGGAATTAAACAGGACTCCGGAAACTTCTCAATGATTAAAAAAACATATTATATTAGTATTAGTATTAGTAATTAGTAGTAGAATTTGAGGCTTAATAGTGGTACACACTTTTTTTCTTGGAAACTAAACTTTTACGTTTAATAATTTAGCCCTAAAATTATTTGTACCCCATTTTTAACCAAAGGTTACACATTATAATCCTAATGTAAAATTTGTCATTGTCAAAATAAAATAAAAAATATAAATAGCTATATCACATACACAATTAATTATGTGTCAAGCAAAGTTAAGGTTATTAATTTAATTGATAGGTAGGTAATAGGTAATCATAATCAAGTGTTCAAGTGCTTTACTTTCTCGAGATTAGTATTACCAAAAAAAGAGTCAGGAATTAAAGCAATTCTCAAATTTTTTTCTCTTTTCTCTTTCTTATTTATTATATATAAATAAATAAAATAATACTTGCACTACAATAAATAAAGTGACTCAAGAAGATTATCTGTGAGTAGTAGTATAAATAGTTGATGTCAGTTTATTTGATTAGTAACAATAACACACAAATATAAATAGACGTTCATTTTTTCTTTATTCTTTAAAAAAAAAATTTTTTTTCTTTTCTTTCTACCACTCACTACACTTGTAAAAAAAAAATTACATATATTTATTAATATAATTAGACTCACTTTGTGAATTAGACTTTATAGAAATATTATCTTTTATATTCAAAAACAACTAAAATAAAAAAAACCTTATTTAATAAAATTTTTTATTATACAAAATATACATACAAATTAAGAAAAATCAATTAAATAAATATGATGCCTCCCAAACCAGCACAATTACATGTTACTGTTATTAGACATGCAGAAACAAACTCAAACTTAAATCGTATTTTACAGGGTCATATAGGTAAAAAAAAAAAAAACGAATTTGATTGATTTGGTCGCTTCGTTCCTTTTTATCGTTTTTGTTAATTTTTTTTATAAAACGTGTTTCAGATGCAAAATTAAACAAAACGGGAAGAGAACAAGCAGATTTGCTTGCAAAAAGATTACAAAAAATTAAAATCGACCATATTTACACAAGTGACTTGTCACGAGCAAAAAAGGTATATTTTTGTTTTGTTTAGGAATAATAATAATAATAACAAATAATAATAAATTATACTATTTTAGACTGCAGATGCAATACGTAAATATCATCCAGATACGCCAGTAACAGTCGATGAACGAATACGTGAAAGGGTATTTATATATATACATTTTTTTATATATTTTATATATTTTATATTAATTTTATTATAGTTAATTAACTATTATAAAATATTAAAATATAAAAATGAATTAGGATTTGGGTAGACTAAGTGGATTAAGTATTTATGATGCTTTAGAGTTAATAAAAAATGAAGAACTTACATGGGATGATTATGGTGAACCAAAAGAAGATTTCAAAGCCCGGGTGGTCGATTTCTTCGATGAAATAGTTGCAAACCATTTACCAAAAAGCAATAATCGTAGTCATTCAAGAAGTTCTTCTACATCCTCAATATCTTCTTTATCATTATCACTTTCATCATCACCTTCTCCACCTTCACCAACGCCAACCTCAACACCAAATTGTAATGGTAATGGTAATAATAAAGCTAGAAATCCTCACATTTTAATAGTTACACATGGTGGTACAATAAAAGAACTCGTAAAAGAACATGTGTTGTTGGATTTAGGATTTAGAGTTAATAATTATCTTAGTATGAAACATAAGGCAAAGAATTCTAGTGTAACAAAATTTGTTGTAAGAAGAAGAAAAAATACTTCATATTTTGACAGCGACGACAACAATAATGCAATTGATGATTACGATGATTCTAATAGTGTTATTAGTAGTGGTAGTAATAGTGCTAAAGATGACGAAGATACTGGATCAGAAAAAGCTCTTTGTACTTCTCCTACCCCAATTAAAAACATTGGACGTAAAACTAGTCGTTTATTAGAAGGTGAAGTCACCTTATGGAGTTGTGTGTCTCATTTATCTGCTCAAGGTAAACGAACACACGGAGACTCACAAATCGATGAGTTTGTACACTAAAATCAATCAAATCAATCAAATCAATCAATCATCAATCAATCATCAATCATCAATCAATCATCAATCAATCAATCAACTTCTTTTCAATTGTATTTTACTTTCAATAAAATCATATTCAAATCATTATTTTTTGTTATTTGGTGAGCATCGAAAATTTAGTGTTAATGTGTTAGGGTTGGTGATAATTTTAAAAAATTAATTATAAAATTATTATTTATTATTATTTTTTTTTTTTTTTTCAAAAAATATTAATCTATTATATATATAAAAAATCTACTCCAAAAAAAATTTTAAAAATTTTACAAATAATAAAAAAAAAAATTTTTTTATATATAAACATAACGAATAGTTATACAACCAGTTACCCTAATACTAATTAAAAACCAATTCCCCCCCTTTTTTTTTTGCCAAATTTAAATCAAATTCTGGTAACCAGTTATATATATATATATTGCCGTTGCGTTTAATGATTCATTAACTGATTAATTTATTTATATATATAAATTTTTTATATTTAAAATTTATGTAATGATTGTTTTGATTGGTTGATTGTTATTAATATACAGACTTAACTAAAAAACAAAATAATAAATATCCAACTTTTCCTTTGCTTTATGTATTACTATTTCTATAAACTTTTTACAAAATATGATACTGCTTTGCTGAAACCACGTATTTTACCACATGTCTTTTTAAGATTTTCTGTTAAATCTGAATCCCATTCATCATTTAAAATGAAATCTCTTGCATATCTAAAACATACTTCTTCACGAAAATGATCAAATAACTTTCTGTTGAATCTCCTCTATAGACATACATATATATGTTTATATATTGATTTATTTAATAAAAGAATTTGCTTTGTTAATGAAAAAATCACTATGATTATAATTGAATCAATAAATAAGTTAAAAAAAATTACCTCATGTTTTCTTGCATCTTCCAAGTATTCATGAGTTTGATGAATCAAGAAATCATTTGGAAGTACCCAATAATCAACGCCCGAAATATATAATTCAAACAAACAGGCTGCCTTGTTTGCGCCATATCCAACAAATCTTTCTTCGCACCTTTTTTATTAATTAATGAATATCTTAGTAAAATGTAGAGCAAATGTGAAGAAAGCGAAAATTTAATTTTAAGTTTATAAAAACTCTATACAACATACCATACACTATTTTTTGGAAATATAACATATGGTTCGTATTGGTATTGATAGGTTGTAACTTTGTAAATTTCCTTGGCTGTTTGCCAATATGTATAATTTGTTGGCCAATGTCCAGGTTTCCATACAGCGTGAAACATCTTTAAACGTTCAGAATCAATTTGTTCATTGGCTTCATCTTTCTTTGTTGGAAAAGTACGAAAATCTAAACCTTCTTGTAAATTAGCATATTCAAATGCTGGTACTACCAACGCTGTATTTCCTTTACGTAATTTTGCCATTATTTCTTCATTATTAAGTATACCATGACGAAAATCTGTACAAGGATGAAAATCAACATCTAACATCATGACATAATTTGTACGTGCAAAAAATTTTGCCACATTTCTCCACATATTAAATTGTCTTTCAAATTTATCAATTACTAAATGCACATCAACGTAATCTTTCATATATTGATTTCCATGATATAATTCATGAAGTTTACTTATTAGTTCTTCACGAGATTTCTCGTCATCGTTTACATGAATTGTCACAGAAATGGGACCTATAAACAAAAAAAAAGGGAAAGAATGAGAAAGGGCGAAGGAAATATATAAATTATTACGTTGTTATTTAAGTTAAAAAATTACCTTGATAATTTGTAACCAATCTATCAAAAACTTTGAAACGATCTAATGTTATTAAAGTTGTAATTGTAACATCTTCTTCTTTAGGTGGCGATACAGCTTTGAAATAATATGGAATAACATGAGAAGGTTGCATTGATTCGCCAAATACTTTTGATAAAAAGAATTCCTCTGACATATATTCATATATTCCTAAAAAAGTTATCAAGCGATTAATTTAAATTAACCCATAATTAATCATCCTGATCAATACTAGACAATATTTATTTTTATACCTTCATGTGTTTTCCAGGATAATTTATCTTTTCCCCATCCTGAACTAGTTTTAAAACCTATACCACCTGTTTGCGTAGTTCCACTAGTTGTGTCATTACTCGGATAATATATTGTATAAAAATAATTTATAGTGTATAGTATTGATAAAGCTATGTATACTAGGAATAAAAATTTTATTCCTTTGGAAACTTCTGTTCTAATCATCTTTTGTGTGATGATGACTTGTTTATGATTATGTCGTTGTAATTATTGTTGTCGTTGTTGTTGTTGTTGTTATTATTGTTGTTGTTCCTCAAATAAAGAATTAAAAAAAAAGAGATAGAAAGAAAGAAAGAAAGAAAGAAAGAAAGAGTGTGAAAATAAAATAGAAAATTGGGTTGGTTTTTTTTATTTTTATAAGATATTTATTATTTACACACTATTTTGGAAGTCAACCATATACATAAATCCGTATAATAATTTTTTGCGCTATTACACTATTTTAATTAGTGTCACCAACAAAAAAAAAATTCATTAAATAATTATTGATTTGATAGATATGTGTGCATATAATGTTTATTTTTATATTTTTATACCTTCTGAAATCGACCTACCTGATTCTCTCTATTTTTTCTTTGATGATCAATACTTTTTTTCCACATGATAAACATTTATCGTGCAATAGTAAATATCTTTTTGGTGGTGGCGAAGCATCTTTCTTTTTTTTTGTAGTTAGTGTGATGAAAATCATACCGTTGATTTTTTTATTTACTTTATAAGAAAAAGCATCATTTATTATTAATTAATTGAATTGATTATTGTTTTAAAAATGCTAAAAACACTTTTACTTATTATTATCATTTATCCTGTTTTTTTTTTTGGATCGTACCATTGATTTAGAAAAGCATTATGCGTTTAATTAATTAATTGTATTTTTTTATAACAATTTTGCTATCTCACTAGAAATGTCTTCTGTAAAAAGATCAATATCTGATACTGAAAATTTACCATCTTCAAAAAAATTCAAAAAATCAGTAAATCCACTAAAAAGGCTACATCTTTGAAAAAAAAAAAAATCATTAAAACTTCAAAACAGATTACCTGATATTGAATATACACCATCCACAGTAAAAATAGGCCTACTTAAACTTCTTAATGAAATGTTTTAAATTCACATATTCAAACTTCAGTTGAAAAAATGACAAAAATAACTTATGAGGGATCTCTACTTGCAAATATAATAACCCTTTATCTTATAAACCATTCCTACTCCCAACCAAACATTTTTTCAACATGTTTTTAAAGCCATCACAGTCATAAACAAAAGGCAATTAAATACACCATGTGTTACTGCTGATTTAACTATCAATTTTTGCCATGGCTTTTTGTATATTCCTTGTTGTACAGAAGAAAAGGAATGAACAGATTCAAGGTTAGTTATCCATTAGTGTTCCTGCAATATCCTTGTTATCCATACATCCATCTATTTAGTTATTTTCATGAATGGATTTCTAATAAACAATTCTGTCATTAAATTAATTCAATACTTATAGTTATCTTGCTCAGCTTATTGCATCAGCAGCTAATCAATACCTGAGAAATTGCAAAATCATGACATGACAAATATTAAAAAGCAGAATCAATCAATGGATTCAACATAAATTGGCTTGGATACCATTTTCAAAGGAAAGTCTTACAAAAACCACTGAACCACCTCTATAAAATCTTTTACAGTGGTTCAAGACTTTCACTTCATTTTTTTTTAATATCAGAGATCCTTTGCTTGTTGACATTGCCTCTACTAGATTTATTTATATATTGCAAAAGACAAGAAATCTTTTAGGAACCTTGTCATTAGAAAACAAAAAAGTAATAAAAAATTGGTGGAAATATCTCTCTCTCCTGCACTCTTTATTAAAACATATTTCAAAAAATCCTCATACCAAAAACCTTTGCTCTTTAACAATTCTTCCACTAATTCAATCCAACAAAGAAACATAAACATTGACACTGAAGCATTATACCAATTATGGGCTTCTACTAAACATAGTGATCTAGTAACTAGAGAAGCTTTCAAAGAAAATTTTGATCATTGATGGAATAGAAGCTCTAATATAAAAAAAGTTTCTACTAGAAATAGAACATTTACATACTATCTACAAACTGATGGTATATGTATTTCTGTCCACCTACAAAGGCCAAAAAAATTTGGTGAAAAATTAGATTTGGAGGGATGGTGTTGACCCTGGAAGAAAGGATTTATTTAATTAAATGTAGCACAAAAGAATATTATGAGATGGCTGGGTTTACAAAGGCAAGAAAAAAAAGAGAAGTTTGGATGAATAAAAATAAACACATACAAGCCATTGTCAGAGGTAAACATTTTGATTTTTTTTTTAAAGATTAATTAATTAATTATTATAAAAAAAAATGTTGGAGAAGTTTAAGTTGGTCAAACTATATTGGTAAACAAAAGACAATGGATAAAATCTGTAGGAGGATTGCCAATAATGAAGAGAAAACTGTTGTGGCATTTGAGTAAATATTATCTATTTTCATGATACTAATTTTTATATTATTTAGAGAATTAAAAAAAAAATTTTCATTTTATAATCACAGTCATCTCCATTCTCATCAAGTTCTAAAGGACATGCTGTTGGTCCAGTAAAGCAGCTGATGTGGGAGTTAAGGAAAAGATGTAGAGTAAAAATTATTAATGAATTTAGAACTAGCAGAATATGT